GCTTCCAATTTTTGAAGCAGTAAAAACGCTGCACAAGAGAGTTCTACTTTTCTATAGCTGAACAGAGAATTAAAAGTCCTTGTCTGTCTGTTCCCACCCCCTCCTCAAAAAAAGGGGAAAAAAAAGTGAAGAGGAAATGAGAAAAGAAAGAGTAAAAACGCTGCACAAGAGAGTTCTACTTTTCTATAGCTGAACAGAGAATTAAAAGTCCTTGTCTGTCTGTTCCCACCCCCTCCTCAAAAAAAGGGGAAAAAAAAGTGAAGAGGAAATGAGAAAAGAAAGGAAAAGGAAAGAGAAAAAGGAAAGAGGAAAAGAAAAGAGGAAAAGAAAAGAGGAAAAGAAAAGAGGAAAAGAAAAGAGGAAAAGAAAAGAGGAAAAGAAAAGAGGAAAAGAAAAGAGGAAAAGAAAAGAGGAAAAGAAAAGAGGAAAAGAAAAGAGGAAAAGAAAAGAGGAAAAGAAAAGAGGAAAAGAAAAGAGGAAAAGAAAAGAGGAAAAGAAAAGAGGAAAAGAAAAGAGGAAAAGAAAAGAGGAAAAGAAAAGAGGAAAAGAAAAGAGGAAAAGAAAAGAGGAAAAGAAAAGAGGAAAAGAAAAGAGGAAAAGAAAAGAGGAAAAGAAAAGAGGAAAAGAAAAGAGGAAAAGAAAAGAGGAAAAGAAAAGAGAAAAAGAAAAGAGAAAAAGAAAAGAGAAAAAGAAAAGAGAAAAAGAAAAGAGAAAAAGAAAAGAGGAAAAGATAGAAGAAGAAAAATAAGCCACCGTTTTTAAATATCACCCAGGAGAAGCCAAACTATGTCTAAGTCCTGCCCAAAGAACGAAAAGTAGCAATATTTTTTTTTTGCAGTTTAATCCGCGCGTTTTCCCCGTGCCCTACCTTCTTCCTTAGGATTTAGTCCATGAAGTATTTTCCCCTTTACAGTTCTTCATATACAAAGCTTTTCCAGCCTCCGTTTATATCCCATCAAGCTGAGTATTACAGAATTCCCCTGCAGCCCCCAAACCAAAAATGACTACCAGAAAAGGGAAAGCTGTTCTCTTTTTGTCCCTGCTTTGTTTACAGAGCTGTCAGTGGTTAGTTAAACTCTGCCTGGAATCTGGCATTTAAGGCCTGCTCTAAGATTGCTTCCTGTGCAGAGCTGGAGGCCTCAGCTTCCTCTGCAATCCTAGCCCAGCACAGCACTCCGAGGATTTCCAACCCCCAAACCCACTTTTCCCAGCCCCTTAGTCCATTTACGCCGCAGAGAAAACCATCACGCTGGCTAAAACTCAGAGGTGGCTTACGAGCTGCTCGCAGTTTAAGGGAAACAAAGCCAAGGTGCATTTGTAAATTATTAGAAGCACTGCTTGCAGATGTAGGTCTGTCTTGTGGCTTTATATTCCTGCCCACTGGTGCGGCATCCAAGTGCCCTCCCCATAAAATCACTGGCACTAGAAGAGCCTTGCATGACTTAAGGGAATTCGTGGCTTTTTCTGCCCCTTTTTCGGATTAAAACATTGCTTAGGGCAGGGGTTTTGTGAAGGTTATTTTATTAGTTTACTTTTCTTGGGGGTGTTTTTCTTTCTGATTCGTTCCTGGATTGGGGGATTTAGAATTTTGTTTTGTTGTTGATGTGATTTGCCTCTCATTTGGCTGGCTGGGGTTGTTTTCTGGAGGTTCAAAGGGAATGGTAATTTTGCAAATCTGATAGAGACACTACAATTGCTGCTGCTTGCCTTATTTTTTCTTTTTTTTTTAATTCACTTTTAGACCATATATCTATAAAGCAAGCTGTAACAAGATTTTTTTCCAGTTTTGTTTTTGTTTACTCTTACCACCAGGTACCCCTTGAAGAACACAGAACAGCATATCTGCCATTTTCTCCCAAGGATTATTTCCCTGACAGCCTATGTGTGTAGCATATATCTGCCATTTTCTCCCAAGGACTATTTCCCTGACAGCCTATGTGTGTAGCTAAATCTGGCCTCAGTTCCTTTGCAAGTGGGGCCTGTGAGTTGCAGAACTGATGTGGTTCCCCCTGTCTGAGAGACAAGGATCAAAGC